TCCACATAAATAAAGGTTAGCTGTTTAGTCTCACTCAACCAGACTCCAACAGGGATCCTGGAGGGAAAAGAAGCTTTTGATACAAGAATGATCCCAAAGCACATTGGCTTTACTCCTAAGAGAGTCCTTCACGTTCTTGCTCAGAAGCCATGGCCATGCTGGCTCCACATACACACACCTGCAATTTCCGACACACCCCTGAACTGACCTTCAATGCCAGATTCACACTTCTCAGGATTTCCCGAGGAACCCAGAATCCAGACCTTTGAGTAGGAAAAAGTTCAGTTTGCAGAGCTCAGCATCTTTAGGTCTGTCCATGTCACATGGGCAATTTTTACATTTTGCTGCATGGTTTAAAAACTGTCATTGGTAGAGACACAGAAGTATCTGATCATAGAGCCAAGGTGAGCCACAGATGGGGGAACCAGCTTTGTCAGCCTCACAGCAGCCTGGCTTACATCTGGTTTAATGTATTTTGGTTGTACTATTTTATCAAAATAAAAGGATAGAAAAAACGAAAACGCTAGTGCTGGCACAGGGGCTGTATGAACTGTATACAGTTAAGAGAAAAGTAGAAATTGCTGGATGTGTGAAAAGGCTAAACCCTTAGATAACCACAGGACTAAGTTGAAATCAAAAAGAAATTTAATGCAGGCGAAAAAGAGTCAAAAATATGTCAAGGACTATGTGTAAAGTCGAAAGCAGAACTGCAGATGTTCAAATACTTTCGGTTCTTCAGGAAAGGAGCCCTGGGCTATCCCCTTCCCCCATGCACAAAAGCCTTTCAGCTTTCCCATGCTTATTCACATGTATAGGAAGGCAAGGGAATGGCAATATGCAGTTTATTCCCCTCACAATAAAACAGAAGAGAAAAATTAAAAGTGGAAAGGGGCGCACTATCACAAGCAGGAGCACAGAGAAATCAGCAGTCCGTTAATACGTAGAAGGAGACAGGAAAGTCTACAAACAAAACAGGAGAGCTCAAACCACCCAACTGCAGACATTTAGCTTCAAATGAAAAAGACCCTGACGCCTCAACATCTCCCAGATTCTCCTCTATTACAGCATCATCCAATGACTCAAACTCTCAAAGGCATCAGGAATTTATTTACGCCTAATTTTAATTCTCCAAGCTATTTTCACACCTACCAAGGATATAGGGCTTCTAATCTTGTGGTTAAAGTGTCACCAGGGGGAATATTTTCTATTTTTATAAATGTCATTTTGTTTTCCCCAGAGACAGGGTCTCACTCTGTCGCCCAGGCTGGAGTACAGTGGCACAATGATGGCTCACTGCAGCCTCAACTACCCGGGTTCAAGCAACCCTCCCACCTCAGTCCCCCTGAGTAGCTGGGACCACAAGCATGTGCCACCACACCCAGCTAATGTATTTTTTCTCAGTAGAGATGGAGTCTCACTGTGTTGCTCAGGGTGGTCTTACACTCCTCAGCTCAAGTGATCCTCCCACCTTGGCCTCCCAAACTGCTGGGATTACAGGCATGAACCACCATGCCCTGATTTTCATTATATTTGATTTTACTAGTTCAAATGCTAAGAACATAATTAAAAATAAAGGTAGAACTAAAAAAAAAAAAAAAAATCACTTTGTTCTAAGATCCCTGTTTCTCTGAGTATCGTCCTCCCTTACCCCCAATTCCAGTCAGTTTCAACTGTGATGGGGTTCCCAACATTGACAGTAGTCCCAAAGTAGAGCATTCTGGAATATTCAAGG